CAGCTTGGTCATGCTACAAATCACCGCATAGAAAAGATAGTCAAAGTAGATGTTAAAAATGCTCTCTTGCTTGAGGCGTTTTCTAGACGAGGCTACTTGTGGTGTAACCCGCGTGACCTACAAACAGTCGGGGAGAGCTGCTGCTCTCAGCTGCCTTCTTACCTTTTGCCTTTTGCTTACCTTACAGTTTTCCAGTTCTCAATATACTCGATCCACGCGTCAGCTCTTTAAAAACATCAATGTGCTAGCAAGCAAAATATCTATTTCTCTATCGATAATTTTATTGTAGGAAATTTTCCTAAGGAATAAAGTGGCTGCTAATCCTCCATAATTCTCGTGGAAAAGCAGTACTCCACATGGCTTGAGTGTTTTACATGGGTGTTCTTCTCATCCATGAATAAAAATGTGCTCACTATTTTAATGGATGTGGTGAGATACCTGCCATCGGAGCGCTGCAGACAGACAGGTCTTTAACTCAGGCAGCCCCCAATCTTAGCTTGTAAATGACAGGTATCAGCACATAACTCAGTTGCTTTATCCTTATTTCTGTGCATACCTTCTACCACAGCCACTGCATAATTTTAAAGTGCAAATCTTAAAAATGTATGAAAAAGTATTGACTTTGGAAGAGAAAAGGGGGGGGGGGGGCTTGATTTGGTCATGAAAGGAACCATGATTCATCAGGCAAAGCAAAATCAAGCTGAAATTCCACCCAGCTCCAAGCTGGAGTCTCTCCATCTGAGCTCCACCGTCTGTTTTTTTTATTATTATTATTCTATCTTTTTCTTACCATACTATTTCTATTGAGACTGATATTTTTTATCAGAAGGGGTTAGGTTTTATACTGGAATTTATCACTGAATGACGGGCGAAAGGGAGCAGGACTGTACTCAAAAGCACCTTGCAGGACTGTACTCAAAAGCACCTTGCTGCTGTTGCAACGAGATTCCTAGCTGTGAATTCCTTCAGTTGTGAACTTCTGAGGTATTTATAATGCAGCCCTGAAGAAGAGCTAGAGAATTTGTGCTGTTGATCTGTGAGAAGAGCTGATGCCAACTGGCCACCGAATGAAGACAACTTTATGAACCACCTCTTGCCAAAACTCTTCTGGGCACAATGGATACACTGCATTAGTCACCCGCCAGAGCCAGGAGCTGCTCTTAGCTTTCGAGTCTCATCACTGGAACCCAAGGTTTGTTCAAAGTACACAACACAATCCCAAATTCATATTCTGTTCTCAGAAAGTCACAAAATAGCCAAAAATATAATACTTGAAGTACCTAACTCTGCCTTTGTAAACGGACATTATTAGATCGTATTTAGCTCTATAAAAAGCCTTGCTGGAGGATTCACCACGGCACTGGCCTGCCCCTCGTCCCCGCTGCCCTGTTCAGGTGAACAGGAGCCGAGCTGAACCCGCTCTTGCCTGCGCCAACTTCCTGAGCCCTCCTCTTCTCTGCCCGACTGCCGCGATCTCCACCACCCTGTGACACCTCCACCAACCGCATCACTCGAAGCCGAGTTCTGCCTCCATCCCTTCTGCATCCTTCTGGAACCAGCAAATAGACTCATTGCCATTACAATGTAAACAAAGATGGTACCAAGAGAAAGAAGAAAAGCTTAAAAAAAAGTGGCAGAAAAACGTTTATAGGTCATCTGCTCTCTAAAGGGAAGAAAAATAGTCACTATTGGCCCCCAGCAGTGCAATCAGATATATGTCTTCATCAGTACTTATTGCTTTTTGCTGCAAATCAGTTACTTGCCACATATGGGGGCTTTACAAATCTATTTTCCCTGCATTTCAGCACATTTAACACTTCAGTATTTATTTCCCAGTGCCTACTTCCCACCTCTTCTCTCGTTCCCCACTAACCACATAAGCCTTTCACACACTGCCTCCATCTGTGCTTCAGAAGGGAGGCAGGGGTCCTGCAACCCAAGAGGCTCAAAGCCAGGTCTCTCGTTCCCTGTTTGCTTGTGATTAGTAGCCTGCCTTGTTTATGAAAGCTCCAGAGTCAAGAAGGATTGTCCCCACATCAACCAAAAAGAAACTCTGAGCCAGCTGCAAACAGACTAAATATTCCAATCTAAAATACTGTCTTATAAGTATTAAAGTATCTAAAGTACTGCCTTATAAGAAACAAATAATTAAAAAAAAAGTAAATAGTTTTAGTCTCACCTGAAACTGTGTAAAAAGGTGCTACTGCTTCTTTCAAATAAATAAATACATACAAAATGATAGATGGCTTTCTAAGCAATGAAGTTAATCGCTGAATGCAAGAAAACCAATTCAAGACTTAGGGCCAGCAGCAAGAGATCATCAGACCAACACCTTTTCTTCTGTGCACAGGTCCACCACTACTGAGCCTTTTTGGCATAACAGTTTAGGAGCAGAAAAGGCAAACTCATGTATTGCCAATATTAAGGGATTCCCATGACAAAATTAAACTGAACAAAGCCTGTAAAGTCTCTCTAAAACACAGTGCTGTGCCCTTGGCCTCAGGGTTTCAAATGATAACGTTGGCCAGCTGCACTTAAGCTGAAATTGCTATAACCCAAGAGTGAACAATAAGCATCACTAATCGGGGATTTAAAAGAGTTAGGAACTATTTTAGGTGACGATCTCTTGTTAGTTAGATAAACTCAGCTCCACTGGTCTCCTCAGAAGGTGACATGAGATTGACAAATTTGTGTGCCCAGATTTTGGAAAACAATTCAAGTGAGAGACCATGGAGATAAGCTAGTCTTTTAAAAGTCGCCCAAAGGTTTTCTTCAAAACAGAGATTTATATAAAAGTTCTATGTGCTGAGCCATTCTGGATACTTAAATAATTAAATACCCAACAAGAAAGCTTTATCAGTTTCCTCCTTCTTCCTCATCTTCTTGTTTTATAACTAGGATGCCTAAAAGAGAAAGAGAGAGAAGAACAACGTATCTGTAAAGATTTCCATACAGATTATACACAGTAAGGCAGCTGATACTGATACACCTGAAAACTTATTTAGACTCTCAGACCGAACAAAATGTTGCACAACTATTTGCTGCCACTGCTTCTGACTGTAGACACCAACTTGTTTCATAACTGAATGTCTCAACTAGAGAGATCTTCTCTGGGATGCTTTTCTAACTTCTTAAGTAGCAAAAAGATACTGAAAGTAAAGAAGTATTAAAGCATGACCCACAAAGTTCAGCCTAACCTGGTCACTGGGATATTCAGCGTGATGTTCCAGTTCTAGCATCCAACAAGCTCCTCGTTGTATATATATGCATATTATATATACATGTATATATATATGTATGTATATATTGCATATATACAATACTTTGTACTGCCACTTTCACGTCATAATGCACAGGCTACATCCCCAAAGATGCTGAACTAGGATACTACAAAATATAGCACCAAACACTGAATTCTAGTGAGCACCCAAGAAGCTCCATGGTTGCACCTTCTGGGCGCTACCTTAGGTGTCATGAACTAAAGCTGCATTGCACAGTATGGACATACCCTATATAAGCTATGAATACCACACAACCCAAGTCCAGGCTGAGGATACCACCTCCCAGTGATGTGCTCGAGAACAAGCTGCAGGGGGCTAACAGCCCCCAAACCCCCGAGAGCATCAAACTGCACATTTTCTCCATGCTGGCAAGATTCAATGGTACAGGCGAGTTCCCAGCACACTGAAGTAGCACAGTAAAGTACATGCCTAAATAAACAGGGGGCATATTTGGGAACCTGGGTGAAGTTTTGAAAATTTGTCCTTGCACCAGAAGCAAAACAGAGAAAAAAAAAAAATATATATATATATATATATATGTGTGTGTGTGTGTGTGTGTGTGTGTGTATGTATATTTATATATCCCCATTCCTCCATATCACCATCTTTATCTGGAAAAACTGTAACTCGACTTGGTCACAAAACCTCTAATTCCACTTAAGGGCAGATGAAACCCTTGTTTATTTATTTAATGCTAAACATATAAGTATAAAACTACACAATGTGGAGTTTAATGTGTGAACTCCACAAGTGAACTTCAAACTGGTATTAAAAATAAACATACATATGTTTTAGTTCCTTAAATGGTGCTGGAAATGGACAACTTCAAGGACCAAGTCCAGCTGCAGAGATTTAACACTGTGAAATCTCTCAGACCCTTTCAGAAGATCCTGAGGCCAGGGCTGCAAAACTCAGCTGTCAAAAGCTACTCTACTTCTGAATAAAAATTCAGTGAGAGGAAGGAGGAATATTACATATTCACACATATATTTTGGAGGCTATGATTTATTTCACTTTTCCATATTAAGCTACTAATTTACCAGCTGCCTCATGCCCCAAACTCACCATCTAGCTTTTTCAGCTTGGGCACTCGTTTGGTTGCCTCTTCAATCCAGCTGTTCTTCTGATCGGAGGCGTACTTCTCTTGTAGCGGATTGCCTACAAACACCAGATCCTCCAGCAAGGGCAGCTCTGCCAGCCTCACAAACTCTGCTGCAACCACAAATGTGAGAACACCAACCAAATTGTGGGACATGGAAAGTACATCCGCAGCAAAGCTTTCTTTCACAGTCGACACAAACACAAATAGTATGGGACACAAGAGGATGGGGACTGTCTGAGCAAACATGGGCATTAAGTTAAAGAGCAGGCATGCATTTTAAAATAAGAGAAAGATAGTTCAAGGCAAAATCTATGGGGCTCAGAAATTAATTTCAAATTTTCAGCTATTTTCTAACTATTTCAATCTCTTGCATGCACAAAAATATAGGAATTCTGTGCATCTCTGTAGGGTTGTCAGTAGAAGTTAGTCCCTAGAGCAAACAGAACTATTTTCCACTTACTGATTTAACCTACATGTTCTTCATAAGAGTGTAAGAAGTTACAGAAGAAACAGGCCTGGCTTACCCCAGTCTTTCACCAAATTATTTGACATATAGAGAACCTTCAGCTTCTTCATTACACGGATCCCCCTTAGCTTCTCGATGAAGTTGTACGAGATCCACAGCTCCTCCAAAGTGTCTGCAACTGCCTCCTGAAAAACGACAGGCGGACTCAGGTAAGTGAAGAGAAGTCTCCCCTATTCTTCAGCTTCTCTCTTCTTCACACTGTCCAAATCATCTCAGGTAATAAAATACTAATGTATATTGGTCCTCATATCCTTCCAAGCAGGTCCCTAATTATGACAGATACCCGTGTGAATTAAGTGCAAAGAATCTAAAAACATGTTCAGGAGGAAAGAAGTCACAATAGTAGAATAATACAAGGAACAGCTGACTGGAGCAGTTGTTCCTAAGGTATGGGCTCAGAGGAGACTAATTTGACTGTTTGTGTACTGTAATCGCAATTCAACAGCCACTTTAGAGGGATTTTTATACAGTATGAGGGACTGAATATATTCAGGTGCATGTATGTTTTCATCTGTAGGCCAGAAACTGCTTTCATAATTCCCTTGAAAACAGAGGTATTCTTTTAAACCAACAATCACACTTTGACTGTACATTTCATATTTAAGAGATATGGCATCTCTGAAGGCAGGAACAGCGCTGAGGGGAGACATTCTGGAGGAGAAACATGAAACCAGCTTTGAGGAAGAAAACATACATCCCATATTTTTCTATATTCGTTAGGCTAAACTGATCAGATGATAAAAAATAATTCTTCTGCCATTAATACAAATGTAAGAAAATTGATACAAAATTGTTTTTCCCCAACAATCTCTTCTCTGCTTCACAGTCAGTCACCATCTGCCCCCCCAAAGCCACAATGCTCTGAGTGCCAGTTACCTGTAAAAAGTAGCACTCATGAGCCATGGGTTTACTACAAATATTGGCAGTCATGTGATGACCCATATTCCAAGTATCTTCTGGAAGAAAATTCCATATTCCAAATGTTAGCACAAAATATTTTCATGTAAAGCTAGTTGAATTTAAAGTGCCTTACCAACCTGAACCGTTTTAAAATAAAAGCTCTGCTTTTCATCATCAAAAATAAAATTTTCCCCCTTGTAGTAACCTTTTAAGCAGTAAATTATATCCCTGGAAAATCTCCAAACTGGAAGAGAGTACAGAAGAAAAAAAAAAGGAAAAAAAAAAGGAAGAGAATTAGAAAATTCAGAAGCAGAATGAGAGAGGGTGAAAAGATAAAAGATCATAGTGAAAGGAGAAAAAGAAAGGAATGGTCAGTGGTCAGGCAATAAGGGGAGCTCAGTGATTCAAATTCAAGAGCACACCCCATTTTGTTAGTGAATATTAGTTAATGCTAAAAAGCACATACCAATCCATTCAAGTTCTTTATGTTATTTCTCCCCAAAGACAGAATTCTCAAATTTTCTGCAAGAGATGAAACACCTTATTAATAAAATTATTTTCCAGTTGCAAGAAGATACTTTAAGTCTCATTAAAAAAAAAAAAAAAAAAACACTTTCTACTTCTAAAAATATTTGCATTCTGAGCAAGCTGCATTAAAACAGAATGACATAAGAGAAGCAAAAACTCTCTATATCCACAGATCACCAGGAATGTCTGCTCCATGGTGGACAGCTCAGAAACACACAGATGAACCCGGGCCTACTGCAAGGTGTAAAGCTGTTTTCTTCATGGATTTTGTGTTACTGCTAAACTTGCACTGGGCAACTGCCAAGACTAGTGCACATGGATACATGCTTTAATACACCATTACTGCTAGACATGCATTGTCCAGTAATAGAAATTTTAAAAATCACGTGTCATTTTCTAAGGTAAAGGAATGAATAAGGATAAGACTTGTCCTTATGTCCAATCCAAGCAGCTAGAAATGGAATGCAGGCAGCCACTGGCTTGTCACTTACTGAGGCTGTTCAAGTTGGCGATTCTTTCAATGCAGTTTGTGGACAGTGACAGCTTCCTTTAGAAACAAGAATAATCAATCACTTTTATGCTGACAGTCTAAGAGGGATCACTTGATCAGAAGACTTCCACTTACAAACACCACTGCATAGGAATAAATTACAATTTATTTCTCTCCCATTAGACAGTAAACCAACTAAACATGTGAACAGACTTATAATATCCTCAAGCCATCAATATTTCTGCAACTTTATTTAGCTTCTAGCAAACTATCACCAGTAATTTACATTAAATCTTTTTGTCTAGCCTTAAAAAGGGAGCTGCCATTTCCTTCTGGAAAGGTAGGAATTTCTCTCTGAAAATCCTAGTTAGGTTTATTTTTCTCTCACTTCCCATTTCAAACATAGATATTATTAAAGCAATCTGGGCAGTTAAACAGCAACCATGTTGCTCTGCTACTCAGAGACACAGAGATATCTCTGCAAGGAGCTGCACTTGTTGTCAGTGAGGACAGAAAGAGCCCAAGTGGAGGCGGTATCACGGACTCTGGTTTAGAATGCCAAAGAAAAATAAATAAAGGTATTGTAAGTGTGTCTGCTAGTTGGTAGAGTCCAGACTTAGACCCCTATCCTAGTGAACAACCTGCTAATTTTCTAAGGACAAATATTAACACATAATCTTCTCTAAACATATTTAAGTAACAAGAATTGTAGGGGAAACCTCAAATAAGCAAGAACTGCGTGTGGAAGGAAAACATAAGGGAAATGGTAGAAAATAAAGAAAGGAAGAAAGGGAGAAAAGGACAAGAAAACAAAGGTGCTGCTTTGAAGGACACATTTAAATACAGTAGATACACGTTTGCATATCAGGAGGAGGTAGGAGTAGGATATGGGACCACAGAACAACTGAAAATTAATACAAAGGAAAGAAAACATTTGTTTTTAACAGAACTTACTCGCAGTTAACAAGTGTGGAGAGAGATTCATCCATCCTCTCCACAGGAGGAATCTGGCCATAGAGTTTCACCTCCTTTGCCTCTGAAGCCTTCTGTCCTGTCTTTTCTTCCTAAAGAAAAGAGAAGGCAAAGAATATACTCATTGGTACATGCAGTTATTATAGATTAATTATTACAGATTAATGCTGATATATTGCTATAAGCTAGTTGTGAAACAAGAAAGCATTTTGATTATTCATATTAACATACGATGTGTGTTGCTTTTCTGAATGACACCTCAGCCCCAACAACCCAATTTCAATCACAGATATAGTCTGGAATTTTTTTTTTTTTTAAAGGGGTCAGGTGAAGGCAAGTAAAGAGGAGAAGGCTTGCTTATTTCCAAGGTACTAAACCACTTGTACATTGCATACACTTTCTTTATTTTAAAGAAGACTTTCTTTATTTTAAAGAGAGTGCTACACTTGAGCAACTAGATTCAGTTATACTCTGCTAAAATGAAATGGAGACTGGCTTAGCTAGAGGTTTGCAATGCTGACTCAAAACACTTCCATGGAGACTAAACCAAGGCCAATCCGTCACAGAAGCAGATACCTAAAAACTCCTCCAGAGAAACCACCTTTCCAATTCATCCAGAAAACTCATTGGCAAAAATTCAGGGCTAAGCTACTCATTCTGCTTCCTCACAGTTACAGCTGCCCAGCACAGCTTAAACTGCTGAAAACTCAACTGCATTTTCCCAAGTCTTTTCATGGTTTTAACCATTTGGGACCATTCCCAGATGCTCCTCAGGAACATCATGTTGTGACTCCTTCTCCAGCTTTGGTGGTAGTTTGAAGTCACGCTCATGAGGTCAGCATGAGCTGACATGGTAATTCCTTGCAGGCAGCTATACTTCCTAAGCAACACATGCATTAAAAGACAAACAGTTTACACTCTTACCAAATAAAGAAAAATAAAATATAGAGCAAAGAGGAGAGAATTCTGAAGCTAGATTGATTAAATTTCGTTTATGGATTATCAAATGCTGGTTAGAAATAATTAAGAGAGCTAAAAAAAAAGTCATTTAAGAAAAGGAGAAGATTTCATGTTTTAGGGAATAAAGCAAACGGCAAATTTCCTAGTTATAATTTAGGTTGATAGTTTTCTAGAGAACGAAATACTTTGGTAAGTTCAGAGCTTCAGAAAATGATCCTAACTTCATCATTTAGGTGTGTTTACCTAAAAGCTGCATAGATTTTAAAATTCTGAACTGATGGTGATTATTGAGAAACACTTGCAACAAGAACTTATTTAGGGGAAACACCAGTTTTGACAGCTGTTTCCTCGGCAGAACAAAGAGCATTTTGTCAGTTCACGCAGTGTTCAGTGGGAAGACTGGGGGTCCATTAACACAGGAGAAATCTATTAGAAAGACAGTATTCTTTTTTCAGATTATTATTCTCAGATAATTTAAAAGAGAGAAAGCTGAGATCGAGCTTATTTTATAGGTCTGCTTTAGAATAAAATGAGTTGCATCCAAGAAGTATTCCATAATCTCATAGTGTAAGATGAGGCATTGACTCTATACCTCAATAACCATACGTAATACTCCATATGATTGTTCAAAATAATTGAAATGCAAAATAAGTTTTGCATTATATCTTATATGTCCCAAGCACTTCAGGTGGCTTGCTCCACACATTCACACTGTTCAAAAGGAGTGTGATGATCTTTTACTCACCACTAACACTTCACAAAATAGGAAGCATATCAGATGTTATTCTAGAATATGGTGAAAAAAAGTCCTATTTCCCTTTCTAAGAAGACAGATAATACTATATTTATTTGCATTTATACTCAATTTATAATCTATCTGTCTATACCAATCAATGAAATGATTTGTTTCTTAAAAACATGAAAGGGAAGGAGCTCCCAACACAGACTGTAGCCAGGAGTGAGCACCTGCAGAAGAAAATTTATCCCAACTCCGACTCAGTTCAGGAAAAAAAAAGAAGGTTGGATGAAGCACCCCAACAACAATCCACAGGAAAAAAAAAAAAGAAAGAAAAAAAAAAGAAAGAAAATCAGAAGAACAGACATTTTAGAAGGATTCCTGATTGCCAAGTTAAAGATTTTTTAAGTTAACTAACTTCATCCTGACTTGAAGCAGGGCATAAGCAGACTCTTATGCTGAGGGGAAGAAAAATATCTGGAATGCAGCTGAACATCAGATCCATCAGATCCAATTTTACAAGTCAAATGGATTCAGATTAGGAGCAGGAAAATGAAGAGTTAAAACTCTACCAAAACAGCATGGACAGGAAAGCAAATTCAGCACTTCCTACTTAATAAAAACTCACTGGAATTATTTTATTTTCTTTACAAAACATATGATGGAAGAGCAGATGTAAAATATTTAATTAGGGACAGGGAGTTATGGTTCTGGAGAGAAGAAAATAGAAAAATAGCTTTTTTTTTTTCCTTTTTTTTAAACAATTCACATCTCTAATAACGCTAGTTTCCACAAAATGTTGCATTTTGCCTCTTAGGACAGGAGTGAACCTTGTGGGATATATCAGTGCACCTTGCAAAAGAAAAAAAATACTGAAGGTACTAAACAATGATAAGACACAAAAAGGAAGAAATCTTCAATTATAGTGCGGTGCCTTAAGCTGGTGGCAAGGACCTTCTGGCTTTCAACTGGACTTGCCCACACTACGTCATATAAAGACCTTTTGGAGACCAGAACTGTTTGTGCTGTTGCTCTAACAGCTGGACAGAGCTAGAAGGGCCCATCTATGTGCTAGCCTGAAATTCACTGAGACTGGGGGGAAATTCTCACCAACGCCAGTGAACTGTGACCCTGACCGCAAAGGCATCCTATACCACATCCAAAAGGACACGGCCTCCCCAAACACCAGCTTTTTAGAAGGCTACAGGACCAGCTCAGTCACACCCAGTGACTGGAATAACGGTGTGCTTGAAGGGGAAAGGCAGGAAACTCATTCTGAGCTATGCTTTGCACAGTGGACAATACGAGAGACCTGTGTATCCTTGCTGCAGAAGAACATCGACATACCAGAGCAAAACTTACTCTACACCACTAATTAAACATGCAACTGTTACATGTTGATGTGAAGCCACTAGAAGTTGTTTTTTCCTCTCTCCACCCATTTGAGCACTGACACAAGGCAATGGCAGATGCCCCACTGACTGCACCAGAGTCAGCGTTTCATACCTCTCTATTCCGTGGGAGGGAAGAGGAATATACTCAGGTAAACTGAACGGAGCATCATTAAAATACAAGAGATCCCAAATTGATATCCTGGCTCTCTTTGTAGCTTCAGGCCTTCTGTCAATGCATATTCAGCAGAACAAGGCAAGACAGCAAAACTGACTTATCTTTACCAGCCATATAGTTAAAAAGAACACAAAGAAATGTTAACAGAATTAACTGTACATTCATATTAGTAATAAAAATTTTACTTTGTGATATTTATGATAGCAGCAGCTGTGTCAAATAAACATACTTGTTACAAAAGTTTGTACTTTTGTACTAGCACTTACCCATTTGGCTAGAGCTTCTTTGATAGTTGTTGCTTTTGCCTAAAAATAAATGAAATTAAAATTAACATTCACAGCATTTTTGTTTCACTGCAAACAAGTTTCCTCTCCCGTTTCACTCCTTCTCATGCTTGTCCACCCCTTTCTCCCACTTCCCTCCATTACCTTCCCACAGCTGTTTCTAACAAGTAGGAATGTGCACCACTCCTTAGTGCTTCTTATTTTCTGGGGTGGGTTGACTTCATATAAGCACATTATCCTTGTGATCTTATTCTCTACCTGGGATGCAGAATGGGTTAGGGACACTGCTTGTTACTTTTGCTGATGAAATCCACATCAGTTAGAAGTAACTATACTAAAAATATGACCTCCTTCTCTTAAGAACATGCTTTCTATCACTATGTGTTATGCAACTTCCTGCCCTGTCTTGAAAGTCAGTGAAGAGGCATTAAGATAAAGGCTGTTACGATTCACTGAGGAAAATGAGGCTCATCTCGGCAAATCTCAAGGGCAGTCTGGAATGTTTATATTCACTTCTCTTTATTTTACGTCCAGTCACATTATGTTATTGAAAAACATACACTACACAGTTAAAAAATATCTAAGAGCGACTCTACAAGGTTTTTTTTTACAGATCAATCTGCTGGCCAACTTTCTATTGTCGCTGACTCTTTGGGATCACACTGGGAGTTTCACCAAAGCCAAATGACTATCCCCATCCCTAACCACTAGCACAGAGTAACTCTGGCATATGCTAAACTTTAAGAATGTTCTGAGAGGTTTTTTGAATGAAAATGTTTCCACCGAGACTGGTCATTCATAGCAGCTGCTCAACAGTATCTTTCCTATTAAATCATGAAGACTCTAGCTTGAAAACCTCTACTGCTCTTCAGCACAGCTCTACAAAATGTGGATTGAGGCAGTTTTTCAGGTAATCAAATAGAGAAAAAAAAAAAAAAAAAAGACAAGACTGTGTAGGTTAAAATCAATGAACTGACTTCCACCCAAAACCTTTTGGGTAATTCCTTCACCTCGCAGAACTATGAAGTTACTGCTCCAAAACCCTGGAAATTCTGGAGCCAGTGATAAAAAGGCAACAGTTGTGCTAGTCCTTTGCTGTGGCAGCTGGGTGTGAGATCACAGCCACCCACCGTTAAACACAATCTTGTATATGGGTACAGAGCCTGCATCTGTTCCAAAGTGACGCCAGAACCAGACTGAATTTTGAAGCTAGTGATCCACGTGAACACAAGCAGCAGTTTCTTCTCCTCAGCTCTATAGACTTGCCTTTCCACTCATAATACCTGATCAGTATTATAAGAAAGTACGTAGGAAATGCAAAGATCAGCAGAAGTGGCTTATCAATACATGTGCTGGGGATTTTGCTCAGCTCCTTGAAAGGTTTTTGAAATATTTTTGGACCAATCACACTATCTTCTGCCAAAGGACCTTGCTTGACAAAAACCTCTGAAGAGCCTATTTTCAGGTGCCTGCTACCTGCACCTTGAACGCTCTCCTACCGGGAGTTAGGTTAAAATACATTCCAAGCATTGGGATCTCCAAATGATCATAAGCTGAAGTGACAACCCTGCATGGCCACCCCCACACTGCAGGGAGCAGACAGGCAGCACCTGAAGCAGGGGAGAGGAGAAGGCACCCAGAAATCACAACCAAATAAATCTATTCCCCTACCCTCCCCAAACAGAAAGACAGCTTTTGGACGCGGGATGTTTTGACACAGAACATCGACAGAATTCAGATCCCATGAAGAAGCAAAACAGGGACACTCTGCCTTCATTTGCACACATTTATTCACGTATTTAAGTGAAGCAAATCAGAATTTCGCAGCAACTGAAACCAGGCCGGTTAGCGCAGGAATCGTAGGTGCCGCAGCCGCAGAAGCTGCGGCAGCTTTTTCTTTTTCTTTTTTTTTTTTTTTTCCCTGCTTTTTTAAGCATTCCCCCCGAGCGCCAACAGCCGCCGAGGGGAAGGCACTACCGCCGCCACTCCGATGGGCCCCGGTCCCTCCCCGAGGACGGAGGGACGGAGGGACGCGAGCCCCGGCCCCACACTCGGGGAGGCCGCCGCGGAGCCGGGCGCCCGCGCCCGCCGGGCCCCATCCTCCCCAGCGCGCCTCGCCCGGCGCAGCTCCCGCCCGCGGGCCGCCCCGCGCCTCCCTGGGCTGCCCGCACGCACCATTGCCGTTGCTACCGTTAACGCTCCGGTTGCTATGGCGCGGCGGCCTCGCGCGCATGCGCGGCGCCGGCGGGAGGGGCGGGCGCGCAGGCGACCGCACCTGGCGACCATAGAGTCGCACCGCCCGCAGCGAGGCCCCTCCCGGAAGGGGCGCGAGGCGCATTGTGGGACGGGGAGGGGCGGGGCGGGACCGCCCTCCTGCACCCGCCTCCCCCCAGCGACAAGAGGCAGACACGGCCCTGGCGGCGTTAGACGCGTTTTATTGAAATCAATCCGTGAAAAACAGCGTTTCCAGGCGCGGCAGCGACCCCTCACGCCACAGAGCGTCTCTGCGGCTCCGAGCCACACGAGATGCAGCCCACTTCAGCAAGCGAAGCTGAGTAGCGTTCTCCGCAAAACGCTGGGGAGCTTGGCCACTGTAAAGCGTGTGAAACGGCGTAAAAAATAATGCCTTCAACTGAGGCCACGTCACCCCTTTTAACATGCACTAAAAATATCCCTGGTGCTCTCCATTCAGGAAACAGATCATCCGCAGAGCGTCCACGATGCATCTTTGGTCTCCAAGTGGCAGTGTAAACATACAGAACACCAGTGCCAAAGCAGGGCACGTTTCGCTGGGCCTTCCTGCAAATAATCTCGGCCACGAGCGTCCTGCCCTGCTCCTAATGGTATTTCCACAGTGAAGTTACATTCCTTGAATTTTTCTTCCTTGTTTAAAAAATATATTGCTCTCCTTTCCAAACATAATCATTCATAAACAAAACATTTTGAATTCTTACATAGCCTTGCATTTTAATAAAGGAGGTGTTAGTTCTTTTAAATCGCATAGACCTGTTGGTAGCTACTACAGCTTGTGTTAGAGGTTTGTGTTTAGGGATTAGTCTCGGGATTCTCAGGCTACCTGGGTTTTGTTGCGAATACAAGGTAACACTTGCTTCCTGCCTCTGGAGCTTCTGCTCATGTATTACTTGGATATCCTGTGGGCATCAGCACCGGGCGGCAACAAAGCGGAGGCGCCGCTCAGCTAGAGCTCCGCTTGCTTGACACCCACACGCTGAAGTCGGGCAGTGCAAAGAGAAAAAGGGAAACCTCTGGACACACAGGATGAGGGCGGGCAGTGCAAAGGAAAACCTCCAGACACACCTTCCTTTGAGGCTGGGACCTGGAGTGGCTTTGGCAAAAAGGCAGGGCACGAAGCCCGGGCAACACCAATCTGCACAGCACGGCGGGCTGCCATCCTGCACTTGGTGGCAGCCAGTTTTAGTGCGGGTTCAAGTGCCAGAAATGACCCTGGCAAGGCCTCCTCAGCCAAAACGTGTAGAGAGGCAGGTTGTGATGAAGTTTGGGGTGGAGTGAGCACAGTTGGGTTTATTTTGTAAGGAGTGAATAGCTGAACTCTTCAGTTGGAAATGATGGTGTGTGATGAGCACGTGACTTGCACTCAGATAATAAGGAGTAGTACTGAGCTGCAGAACAAAGCTAACAGACCTGAGCATGATGACAGTTAACTGGAGAGAAGAGCAACCCAAAACTATAAATGGTCTGAAAAGAAATGATGAATTTGGATTAACTAATCCAAAATTTAGTGTCTGGTGTTACTATTAAAAAAGTAATGAAGATAGGAGCAAGAGTTTCACGTGACATTTAGCCATGCAGTCCAGCAGGACTTTCATAACCCTGAGTGTCAGTTGCTGGTCCAAGATATGATAGCAGCATCTATCTGATGAATGAGTCCCTGCTCATTTCATCTAGTTCAAGGTAGTGCTGGCACTGCCATTCTCCCTAGAGGACAGTAAAAGTTCTCTTCATTTTCTTACTTTTTTTTTTTTTTTTTTGAAAAGAAGCATTGATTAATTTGGCAGAAGACCAATGAAGGTAAAAGAGACTCATTAGAAATAAATATCCCTGGCTTCATAAAGATAGAAGAGATTGCAAAAACATAAATTGGCTGTAAATTGGAGACTTGCGGGCTGAAGTAGCTCAATTCACACCCAAAGCCTGAATCATTTTTCATTTTGATGTCTAAGTTTATCATCCATAGGTTGCCATCATTCCACCTTCTTGGGAACCAGTCTGCCATTTCTGACTGTGCAGATGGAGTTGGTAAATTCTTTAAGGCAAAAATGCTACAGGCAAGAAAGTACCTACCTCTCTCTTCCAAAACCTGTTTCTTGATACCAACACTAATTCAGGCTTGCAAATTTGTACTAAAATGCAGCTTGTCATCATCGTTTCCACTCTCCTCCTCCCATTCTGTTTGTTATTTTGCATGTAACCGAGTTGTCATTTGGTAATTTCACATTTCAGACCTCTTCTCAGTCAGTCCCTCCAATTTCCTAGTCATTTTGGTGGCTTGAGCTCAGTCCTCTGTGACTCAGCAGCAGCTTTCTGGTACCGAAGCGTTCACCTCAAATGGAGGCGCAGAAACTCCTGAATCTTTCCCCAGGAGTGTTCCTGTGCACGGGCATGTGCTTTGCTCTCCCCACCTCCCATGACAGGGACGCCCAGAACACGATCCACAGCTACCTGGCAAAATGGAGTGGAAGGAGGATCGATTCGGTGGCCGGCTCCCGGGTAACTCAAGAGCTCAAAGTTTTCTTTCCCGTGCTGGCGCAGACGCCCAATTGCCAGCTCAGCGTATAAGGAGCTCTTCCACACACGATCGTCTTCTCCTACCACTAAGAGGAAGTGACCTTCAGCTTTCTCTACAGGAATCGTGCAGGGGGAATTAGCAGGATTCATTGGGTCATCCAGAGCTTCAAAAGTGTCAAATACACCAGTGTCAGAAACATTGACCTTATTCATATCAAAGCGCAGCCCAGGCAGAGTCATGTCACCATAATGAAGGTCTGCAACCGTGTTGGAGCTGCAGCCGGAGATGCAGACAGCAGCCACCACTTCTGGCAGGAAGGTGATCATGGAGAGCGCTAATTCTGCCCCTTTCCCAGTCCCAATCACTCCAACTCCTGGCCCCTTCACCTTCAGGTAAGTCAGCGGGGGAGGGAACAGAGGGAGAAAGGAATACAGAAAGTATGCATTACAATAGGATTAGCCATTAAATACCTTTGGAGTCGATTAATGAAAAGGTTAGGTTAATCATTGATATGGAACGCTACAGCCTGGAACCAGGCTCCTTCCTCTCCAAGTGTCTTATTTTTCAAGGACAGCAGATGTTAAATCCATTAAAAACCAGGCACGGTATTTATGCTAGGTACAGAAAACACCATCGCCTGGCCCTCACCTAGTTCCAACTGTGTATTTTGATCCAGCTATTTTCTCTCTCTTCCCCGCCCTCACCCCCTTCAGAACAGGTAGCAGGAAAGTACAGTCTATTTCTATATACATCTCAGGCAAGTAATTTTACAAATGACATGTTGAGAATCAGGTGAGTAGTATTTAATCTCATCTTTTTCCAAACTGAAAAGTAAAACTAAAAGCAACTTCCTAAGTCCTCAAAACCATTCCCTTGCTGATTATTAAGCACTTTTCTGCCATCTTTTTGTAAGTTAATTACTTTCCATTTTTAAAGTTGTATATCTTTATAATCATTGCTCCTGTTTAGAGGCAGTTCTAGCACTTCATTGTTCTAATGATCAGGAATCTTCTAGTTTCCAGCAGAAATTTAACGGCTAGTTCTACATCTGCTTATGTAGAAGAAGGAAATTCACTCTCTGCAATCATGCACGTGTCAAACCTATGCTTTTTCCATTACTGTGCCAAAACCTGCTCAAAAGAAACTGACACCTGAATGAAATCACTGCTGCTACTGGGGCACAACTGCTGAATCCTCTCCAGGTTCTTGTTCAGGAAACCTCATGTTACACTCACCTTCGGGTGACGCTGTAGAAATCTCGCTGCCTCCTCAAAGTACTCAAGCTTGAATTCTTTCATGACTTTTGGCAGATCTTCAAAGTCAAAGTAAGGCAGAGAAAGAGCAGCAAAACCTCGGGTGGCCAGGAGGCTGGATCTGAATTCAACTAATCCTCCTTCATCACCGTACATGTCAATCACTCCCGGGAAGGGGCCATCCCCTATATTAAATCAAGAGGTAGAGAGGACAATGAAGTTATCAACCAGGACACTGCAAAGTACCTCATGAAGCATGAACGAGAAAATACAGTAGGCATAACACACTTTATTATTACTCATTGCTTTTCTACTTCTACAGTGCAGAATACAGAATTAGTTCTGCAACTTAACTTTTTTAAACCAGGAATAGCTCTTTACCTTTTGCTAAAGCATGGAAACATTAACAAACATTTTTAATGTTTGTTATATTAATGTATGTTCTATAAATATATTTTAATATGTTTTTAAGAATCCTAACTTTCCATCCTAAAACCAATCATACTCCAAGTCAGATGTTTCCCCACAAGCAATTCATACTTTAATTAGCAAAGTGCAAGCACATTACTAAAGAAGCAATTACATTGAACCCACAGAAATAAATTCTACAAGACTTGCACAAACTCTGGAAATAAAATGCTTTTAGAAAAGCAAAACAAAGAGCCACTTGGGTGAAAAGAGCTCAATTTGCTTGTTCTGGCTCAGCAACAACACTGCAACAGTTGGCAGCAGAACTGCTGCCACAGGTGTGAAGAGTCAGAGAGCAATGCTGAACGCTGTGTCTGTGCAGTTGTGTGTGCTTGATATACACACATGTACAGATACACACTACATATATATGAATGACCCCACTGAGCTGCAGAAATAATCAAGCCACAGCTTTTAGTGGACATGTGTTTGTAGCCAGAGTCTTGCTGGAATATTACCATTTGACACTGGCAAATTTGAGCTAACAAGCTCAGGATTCTATCCTGACAACTATAAATAATCCATTTGTTGCCCCCCACCACCCTCCATTTCTTTTTTTTGTTTGTTTGATTGGCCACCAGATGTCACCACCGAATCATTCAGGGCCATATCACTACAGCTATCTAACGGAGAATAGATCCACTCTAAAACAAAAGTGCATTGACACTCCTGAGGTACCTATGAGTACCTGGCATTTCCCGATACTTTAACAAAAATATTTTGGACAAGCCACACTAGATAGTGGAAACCTCATAACTTCACTGGACTCCCTGAAAGGACAAATACAGTTCTGCTTTGCATATCTCCAGATTCCCACTGAGCTTTGAGAAGCTCTGCCCATTCTCTAAGGCAGAATTCACCAGATCAACGGGATCTCCACACTGGCGGATCCAGAATGCTGACCACACTTTTGATCCAAAATACAAAGTTCAATCTCCACTGTTTTTGTTGTTTTTCCTTAGGTGGACTTTGGATTAATGACTAAATGAATAAGATCACTGGTTTGGAAACTATTTGCTTGAAAGACTTAGGTACATACAAGCTGTGCTTACATGTTTTGCTGAACCAAGTTATTATAAATAAGAGGGGAGTTACGGTAGGATAACACTCAGAAGTCATGGCTTGACAATTTAAGCACCACAACACAGCATAACGTTTCCTTCTTCACCAGAGTCAACCTGAGTATTGCACCTGGTGGAGCGTGACCATTGCACAGGTGTCACAGGCAGAACTTCCCTACAAAACATATTTTGTATTTACAAAACCAGTGAGCAACCAGAGTAACAACACTTACCTGAGCTCTTTGGCTCTAGCATAACAGAGAGGGGTGACAAACGTGTGTTTCCTGTGACCTTCCACTGCTCCATACATTAGCATGCATTTCACAGGGAGGAAAAAAAATTTTTTTAAAGTGGGTCCTACTCGGCATGAAAAGCTGCAGGAGAACTTTGCACAAGCTCCTATGAGGGAAGCGCATTAGCTTTTCTGAAGTAAACTATTGCAACAGCAATACCCACAACATAACCACATCGCCAGAGAGCCCTGGGTGGGGGGAAGGACGTGCTAAGGCCGCTAAGGCCCGTTCCTCGGCAGCAGCAGGGCCAGCAGCGCTCTCCCCTCGGTACGACCCGGCAGGGCCCCCCGCCAAGCCAGAATATGGGGTTCCTGAGCGCAGCGCGGCACTCACCGGGCGGCAGGAAGAGGGAACCCCGCACGCCTCCCTCCTTGAGGCGGATCCGCCGCACGCCGGGCGCCGTGAACCAGCGCTCCACCTGCGCCTTGGCCATGACGGGCCCGGGCATGGCGCCGCGCCGGCTGTGGCCCTCATGCACCAGCATCTCCACCTTCATGGGGGCGCCGGTGCTGCGGGGCAGGAGACGCTGGTAGGGCCGCTCCATGCCGGCGGGCGCGAGGCTCCAGAAGAGCCCCATGGGCTCCACGCCGGTGTAGTCGCCGCCGTGCGAGGCGTCCGTGCCCAAGTGCAGCTCGCCGCGGCCGTCGGCCTGGTAGTGCGCGCACGACTGGAAGAGGCAGCCGCGCTCGTCCGCCGCCACCGCCCGCAGCGTCACCGCCTGCCCCGGGCCCAGCCCGGCCACCCGCGTCTCCACGCGCTCGTCCGCCAGCCCGGCGGCCGGGCTCACGGCCACGCTCACGGCCCGCCGC